TCCTACCAGGCGGAGCCGCCCTCCCCCCACGCCGCTTCCGCTCCCGCTCCCGCTCACCAACATGGCGCCCGGGCCATACCTGCCCGTCAAAACGAGGCCGTTTACGTCAGCAGCGGGGCGGGGCTATCGCGGCCAATCCGCGGCGCCGGCAGGTAGCGGGGGGCGGAGTCAGTGGCGGGCACAGGGGGGCTGGGGAGTTCCGTTCCGGCGTGGGCGGGGCTTTCTGTGCGGGCGGGGGGAGGTGCTGCCGGCTGTACACATACAGTGAACGCAGGGTCCTAGTGTCCTCCTCTCCGCCCCGCCCCGCCCCGCCTGGGGCGGTCCTTAAAGCCGGGTGGTGGTTGTTGCTCTTAGTCAGCCCGGTTGGGCTAAGGACAGGTAGTCTGAGCGACGTCCTTGCCTCTCAGGTCATTTCTGGGCTATCAGAGCTGCCACTACCCTTAGGCTACTGTGACACCTCTCTGACACTTCTCCAACACCGCCCTTACACTACTATGATACCCCTCTAATGCTACCACGATACTACCATGACACCCCTCTGCCACCACCCTTACACTACCATCACACCCCTCTAACACTATAGATATGCTACCATGACACTATCATGACACCCCTCTGATGCTACCATGACAACCCTCTGACATGACCCTTATGCTACCATTACACCCCTCTGAAGCTACCATGATACCCCTCTAACACCACCCTTTCAGAGAGAAAAGCATGAAAAACCCCAGCATTAGCACAGCCTAAGCTTACACCTAGAGGCATGTAGGTAGGGGGGCAGAGACAGCACCCTTGCCTTGTCCAAACAGAGCACTAGAAATATTTCCATTTCCTGATTGTGTTTCTTTCTCTGTGGCCCAACTTGCTGATGTGGGCCCACAACTGGGTGGAGTAGCCGGATCCATAAGGGACACAGCTAGAGCACCAGGGCAGCTGTGAACTTCTGTGCCTGCCCTCATTGTGGGGAGTGGATGTTTTTGGTCAGCCTTTGCAGGGAGCAAGTCAGTCAGATCCCTTTGTGTTGCTTCTGGGTGACTGGTTCTTAACTTGACAAGATTTCCTCAGCAAAGCTAATGGCTCCTTTGCACAGTGAAGCTTACTGGGACTAAGGAAGGGCATAGGTTTAAAGTGAAGTAGCTCTTCCTGGTTAATTCCCTGTGTGGGTCCTCTTCTTTTCTGGAAAAGGCACGTCTATAAAGTAAGTCCATCAGGAATAGCTTCCTGTGTAAAGGACCCCTTTGGTGTCTGTAATCTTCTTGAGCTAAAACACCCAACTGGGTTGATTTGCATCAGAGCATTTTTGTGCCATGTCAGATCCAAACATGATAGTCAACCAAACTCAATGTCCAGCATTAAGTGCCTGTGAAGTGTCCGAATTAGAACTTTGCCTGAGAACAATCATGGCTAATTGCCATTGATTGCCATTTAAGCCTCCTGTGTAAATGACTGTCCCCAAGCCTCCTTTGATGTCAGTCATATCTCTGATGACTCAGCTCCTGATTAAATCAGTCCTGTGTTTCTAGGCTTTGCAAACTTTGTTCAGCACTTCTACTAACTGTGCTTTGGCTGACAGTAACAGACACATCTGTGATCGTGAAGCACTTGTAGCCAACTCATACACCTTTGCTTAACAAATCTATGCTCTTCTGCACAACCAGTGCAGAAAATCCTAATATAGACAACCTAGAAATTCCTAGACTCTCCTTAGACAGTTTGCACGCTCAGCTAACACTTAGGAAAATGTAAGAGGAAGAGACAAGAGTGGGGTTTTGAGAGAAGAGTCAAGTGAAAAATATTGTGCAGTTAGAGTAAAGGAAGGACTGGGAGGAAAAGATATCAAGAGATAGAAGAAAATGGTGATTACTGATTAGGCAAATAAAGGGGAAGGAAATGAGCGGTAACAAGTAATTTTTAAAAGAAAAAAATGCTTTGACGGACAATTTGATCAACAATATTACACTTTAACTAGTAGTTTATTTCCAGCAAGTACAAGTTATTTAAAAGTATTCCCAGATTTTCATAGGGTGTAGGGAAGGGATGTCACATGTTTTATCCTCTGACTATCAACATCCACTTAAAATAAACTTTGCCTTTGTAGCTGATTATGGGGCCTGATATGACCATACTGAGTATAATATGCTTACACTTCTATTCGGTAGCATTTTTCAAATGCTTGACCTTCACATACAAGTAAGTGACTATGGAAAGGTCTAAAGCACACAAGAATCAGGTGATTTTTGTTAATGAACAAAACCCTTATTTCTGCCTAGAACCCTGCTTTTAGAATAGGAAGAGACTGACTCTGGCCAACTATTGCTCTGAAGTATAGGATAAGGTAATGGAAAAGAGAGATAAATCACTAATGTTTGACAGTAATTAAGCTTAGGTACATCATGAGGAATGTTTCTTAGAAACTGACCAGAACACTAACAATCTCAAGCCTTTCTTTTTAAGGTTGGCTACTGGAACAGTGAGTATAGTGTTGAAATATAGAGTGATTGTAAATGTCTTTGAAACACAAATAAATACTTCCCATCTCCAGGGTGAGATAACACGTGTATCTTCAAAAAGTGAGCAAACTCCTCCCTCCCTAGTTTTAAAGGTATTATTGAAAGGCATTTCTTTTCCTGTATACTGGAATAATTCAGATTATTAGAGCTACTTTATTTATAGTCGTGTAAATAATAGGAAATCCACAGCCACACAGCAGAGAATTCCAACCCGTGAGAGAAAAGTTAGCAGGGGATACAGCTGCCACCTCAGCTTATATGTAGTGAAGCCTAAAAAAACAACAACCCCTCTTTCAGGCTGATCAACTGGCAAAGACTATCTAGCCATGTAGAGTTGACAGTCTCCTATACACTTCAGTATTTCCCCTCTTCCATTGGCATCTGGTCTAAACTGAGCTCACAATCTGAAGGAGGCCTGGGAGGGAGGAAGGAGAGGGAGGAGAGTAGCATGTCTAGTCAGTTGTGTCCTAAGACAGTGGTTTATCAACACCTTTTCACTTTTTCCTATGATCTGTGAATCCAAAAGAAAAGAGACAAAGAACAGGATATCAAGCACTAATGGGGTTAAGAGCAATAAACAGTACAGAACTATATATCGTGCCTTGATTGTTTTCTCGCAAGCTCAGTGCAACAACAGCCATTTAAACCATCACCTTACCTCATTACTGTTGATCTGGTTCTTGATGCAAAAATCTGCAACAGCATTGTATTCACACAGACCATTTTTATAAAGTATGTAGTTGCCATTTTGTTTGCACACATTTCTGTCCACCCATTCTTTGCAATTTTAAGGCAGAAAGTACAACTAACTACCACTCTTTGCAAGTTTACAAGACTGAAATTACTTGCCGCAACAACAAACAAGAAGCAGGATGAAGTAAGTCGCATTCTCTACTTACCTTGTCTCCCTCCCTCGTATAATTTAGGTACTTTATTTTGATATAGAAGCATTCACAAGTATTATGTAGAAAATACTGTGGAATGGAAATGGTAATGTTCTGGTATGGTTATCTTCATGTAAGAAACATTAATTGCAACATGATGTAAAGTACCAAGTCTTCACCATTTTTGGTACTTCAGCCATTGTAAAGCTACAATGCCATCCTGCACTGAGGGTAGGCAGTGACTTGCTAGATGACTCACTTGTCTATTTCTACTCTTGCAGGTGAAGGAGTGGGACCTAACTGATGGTCAGTAACACAGAATGCTGCAGTAAGGCAGTATTGACACTTCGGTGATGTTTAGTGCTACATCTGCTATGAATAGGGTGGTTTGTATTTTCATTTATAGTAATATTTTAAACAAAACCAATAAGCATAATAGTTACATATAAATTCAAGGAAGCCTTTGTTGGAAAACTTTAGCCATACCTCCAAAGAGGAAGAGAGAGACTGGGACGAAATTATAGTTTCATTACACTCAAAGGCAAAATTTCAGGTTATTTCACCCTGGTTAGAAGCCTGGCTCCACTGAGCATAGTGCTACATTTATAAAACACTTCTTGACTCTCTCACAAGGCTGTAACAGTGAATATAACAGTAACAGTAACAGTCAGTAACAGTCAGTGGCTGTTACTGACTGACTGTTTGGGGTGAGGTGAGCAGGCTAGTAGGGAGGGAAAGATTGCAGCAAGATCTGGAAAGGTTACAGGAGTGGGCTAACATAAACAGGATGCGTTTCAATACTGACAAGTGCAGGGTGCTGCACTTAGGCAGCAGAAATCAGCAGCACACTTATAGAATGGAAAACTCCCTTCTTGAGAGCATGGAGGCAGAAAGGGATCTTGGAGTCATTATTGACTCCAAGATGAACAT